ATAGCAGCATCCGATCGCAATAATAATTTAAGGAATTCCTGACAATTTTCTCTACCACTTTCATATATTATATGTGTGTGAGAGCTTTAAGGATGGCAGAATAGGAGCAGAAACATGGCAGGAATCGATGAGAAACACACACAGACGAACGCGGAGCGGGGGTCACGTGACACTACAGCGGGGGTAATTGGAACAGAATGGAGCCATTGACTTTGAATGGAGAAGTAGACAAAATATAAATATGGATTAAAAATAAACCGTAAGAGATATCAAGAAGATATTTACAACATCAATGCCTGATTATATCACGAGTTGAATACAGTTAAAATGGCGTTTCCAGCCCACGCTATTCCTGAAGTTAAGGTTCAACTTCTCACGAGTTCACAAGCAGCTTTTGACAGCGTCTGCAGAGACAAGCAGGCAGCGACAACCGAAGTGCATTTCAGCATTCAGTTTCAAACAAGAGCATATGACAAATTATTATTGTATGGATGCTGAATCAGCATCCATACAATAATAATAAAGACCAGGAAAACATAGTATGGATGCTGAATCAGCATCCATACAATAATAATAAAGACCAGGAAAACATAGTATGGATGCTGAATCAGCATCCATACAATAATAAAAAGAAGAAGAATAAAGACCAGGATGGCACAGTAAGGATGCTGACTCAGCATCCATACAATAATAATAATGATAAAGATCAGGAAAACAAGGTATGGATGCTGAATCAGTATCCATACAATATTATTAAGAAACCAGGTTGTAGTTTGTGACCTGTTCAAGAATTATTGTATATTAAGTCATGTGCTTGTGATATTTGTCCTTTTCATAATCACTCAACCTGTACTGATGATGAGAAATATATTATTCAGTTCTCTGGGCAATCAGTTCACCTTACCTACAGAGTAGTTGCTCCACACCAGACTCCTGAATCAGGCTATGTGTCATATGTTTTACCTGTAACACCAACTCTTTGTGTATAATGCATGATGTGATGAGTGACTGAATTAGCCTGAATATATATTTGTCTCATGTTCACCTTGTTTGGTTTGTTGTCCCACCAAGAAATAATGTAAAACAAACACATTTTTTAAAAGAGACTTTTACTTATAGGTATGATAAACAAAATTATGAAAATATGACCCAAGATGTAATTAACTGTAATTCAAACTTTTAATTGCTATTACAAATGTAATTTGTAAATGTCTGTTAAAAATGTATGGATGCCTTGTTCAGAATCATGTGTGCAGTTCTGGGCAGCAAGGCATCAGACATAAACTAACAGTCCTCCTAAACAACTTTATTATTTTTATTCTCCTAGTGATAAAGTAGTAATAAAATATCATTAAGGCAGACAAATATATCCAAACTAACCAAACCATGAAGAAATACTAATAGAAATTAAATAGTCATAATCTGGACATACAGTATAGGGACTACAGATGTTTATATATTTATCATTCACACAGTTCCACCAGGGAGCCATTGGATTGGTCCTAATTGCATTGTGCAGCATAATAATAAGCCCAAACATCCAGCCAAAGTCAAAAAGAACTACATTCAGACACAAAAAGAAAAAAAGCAGTGTAGCAGATGGTAAGACCCCACAGATCCCTGATCTCAACATGGAGTCAGTCTGGGATGCCAGTATATGAAGGGACTGAGAACACTAACACAACCTAAATCCTGAGAAGAACCATGGCAAGTTCTCCAAGATGCTTCAAAAAACCTATCTGCCAAATATCCTGAAAAACTGTCCGCAAGTGTACAGGAAAACTGGGGTAAAGGGTGGTCACAGTGAGTATAGATTTGATTTAGGTTTTTCTCTTTAACTGATTTGCTATGAGGTTCATGACATGACTTCTGAAAGCATTCTTAACCTTTGGCACAGTATTGTCTATTACCTTGGGTGGTAGAGTGGTGCTTGGTTAGCGCTGTTGCCTCATGACAGAAAGGTTATGGGTTTGCCTTTTTGTGTGGAGTTTGCTTGTTCTTGCCATGCCAAAGACAGGTTGACTGGCAAATCTAAATTAACCATAGCTTTTGTTTCCATTGCCCTCCACCCACCTTGGAGCTGCATTCTGGGAGATAAATTTCAACACCCCTCAGGAGGTAGTACTAAAATCAAGTTCCAAAAATGCGATGAGGAAGGCTGTGGGTGCTCACACAACTTGTGTCTATGAGTGGTTAAATGTCAGCTTCTTCACACCTCAACTATTAGCATACAAGCATGGTGGAAAAGAGGAACTTCAGTGAGTGGATTGCAGACAAAGATGTGAAGATGTCACATTTCTGCAAGTTTCTGTTCCACTTTTTCAACAGCTGTTTGATAAATTGCTCATACAGTCTCTGTTGCTGGCAGAGTTTTTCACAATAGCATAATCCTTCAGGTCCTTACCTATCCTTCTGCTTAGCTGTGTGTGTGTGTGTGTGTGTGTGTGTGTGTGAGGAGCGCAGCCCCTCCCTCCTGATAATGACAGCAAAAAATACAGAGGAACAGCAAAGGAGAACGGTCCGCACCAGTCCATGAGGTTATGCTGGGTGATGGTTAAGGGAAGGATGGGGTGTACCGCTCAATAGGTTCTGACAGTGGAAATGCAGCTACAGACTCTCCATGGCACCTGACCTCTTGTAGTTTGCTTAGTGCTCCTATGCACTATAAGAGAATGTTATAATATCTGCCCTGCACCTGGCCTTGTTCCATCCTGGAGAGAAAGAACACTATATCAAAGTGTTATTCAGTGGTTTTAGCTCAGCATAGTCATCCCACAACATATGATTTTGAAGCAGAGACAGCTAGGCCACAGCACGTCCCTCTGTAACCAGGTCCTGGACTTCCCAGCTGGCAATCTACAGTCAGTTCAGATCAGCAACTGCACCTGAGCATGGCATGGGCATTCACCAGGGCTGTGTACTCAGCCCACTCCTGTTCATGCTGCTGACATAGGACTGCGCTGTATTATCCTTTTTCATATGCATCGCTAAGCTTGCTGATGATACAACAGCAGCGTGGTATAAGACCAACAACCTTTCCCTAAACACTGTAAAAACAGAGAAGATTTTCAGGAAGATAACACCACTAACCAACAATGGCACCAATTGTGATGAAGGTAAATGGCACCAAGTTCCTGATGGTGCACAGTAAGGAAACATGTTTCCCTGCACAGTGAAATTCTTCCTTTGCTGTCCATGATGAACGCCAAACAATATAAAGTCTAAATATAAAATAGATAAATAATAATACAAGATAAAGGCAATTTTAAAAACAGCATGTGAAAAATTTAATAAAATATAATACCAAAACATGCTAGATCATGTGCAACAGTTGGCAATTGTGCACATGCAAACTGAAAACATAAACAGTCAGATGCAGTTACATGAAGTAATCCCTGATTACAAACTCCTGTCAGCTCTTTAGGAGTTTGATGGCAGTGGGAAAGAAAGAGTTTTTCAGTCTAGAAGTGTCCAAGTGAGGTCCTCACTGATGTGGATGCCCAGATATTTGAAGCTGCTCACCCTCTCCACTTCAAGTCCCTGGATAAACAGTAGCTCTCTTTCCTCATGTCCACTATCATCTCCTTCGTCTTGTCCGTGTTGAGGCTGAGATTATTGTCCTGGCACCATGACATCAGACCGGCCACCTCCCTCCTGTAGGCTGCTTCGTCCCCGCCAGTGATGCGACCAATCACTGTGGTGTTGTCCGCAAACTTTAGGATGACATTGTCCTTGTGGGAGGCGACACAGTCGTGGGTGAACACGGTGTAGAGGATGGGACTGAGGACACATCCCTGTGGGGTGCCAGTGTTTGTAACAATGATGGCTGAAGTCCTATTGCTAATCCTGACAGTCTGGGGCCTGCCAGTCATAAAGTCCAGGAACCAGTCACAGAGAGTGAGGTACAGACCCAGTGTGGACAGTTTGTGGGTGAGTTTGTGGGGGACAACTGTGTTGAAGGCGAAGCTGTAATCAATGAAGAGTATCCTGATGTCTCCATTTTCCAGGTGAGAAAGGGAATAGATAAGGTCAACCTAGAAGTGAGGATCAACCTGGTTCCTTCAACAGAAAGCCAACAGGATTTTTCCATAAGATATTGGGTTATTTCAGAAAATAAGCTCTTTGACTTGCAACAGTTTATGATACTTAGATGTTTTGTTCAGTAAGATAACCTCCACAAGTGAACACCAATTTTATATATTTTGAAGTCCAAATACAATCACTAGAAGTAAAAAGATTGTTAGACTATAAACAGATGACAGCACAGTCACATTCAAAATACCCACTGACTTTGAGGTGAGGGAACCAGAGGTACAAAAATACTAATTCAGTTCTGGGTTTTACTCACTACTATGGCACTCCACAGTGCAATAATCAGCCATTAACAGTGGCTGCATGAGCAATTTATCAAAGAGCTGTTGAACAAGCAGAACACAGACTTTCAGAAATGTGACGCCTTTGTTATTTTTCCTACTGTCATTTCACTGAATCTCTTGTTGTACCTCTAGACCAGTGAGTCTACACATCATGCTTGTAATGTCAATAGGTGTGAAGAAGCTGACATTTAACCAATCACAGGTGGCAGCCCTGTGAGCATGCACCTCCTGCCCCTGGTGTGTTCCTGGAACTTGATTTTACTGCTACCTCTTGAGAGGTGCTGAAGTTTAGCTCCCAGATTGCATCTCCAATGTGAGCAGAGGGCAGTGGAAAAAAATGCAGAACCCATGACAAACGTTACATGGCTCAACATGACTGACTGAGATGGGTGAGCTTCCCTCCACCCATCCTCACCACATTCTACAGAAGCAACAGGAGCATTTTGACCACCTGTCACTGTCTGGTATAATGTCTCTGACCAGGGACAGACTGGATCTTTTTATAATCCACCTGCTGCTGTGCCATGAATCAGCATGAGCTAGCCAGAGAGTAGAGGACTGAACCAGTTGCAATTGGCACATTTACATAAAGCCCTTTAGCACACATCTTGTGAGCGCGGGTGACAACTGTATTTCAGTCAGTCACAACACAAATAACATTTGGAGGGAACTGCAAATCACTGTGGCATTTAAGCATGTATGACAAAGAATAAATATAGAAGTAATGCATAGAAAAACCAGACACCCTCAGAGGAGTGCACCTTTCCTCCCACATATAAAAAGAATAATGAGGGCTGTGTGTAGGGCTATGCTTTTATACTTGAAGGAAAAACCAAACGGAACAGTTAAGGATGTGAGGCTTAAACTGCAGGACTTTTGGGCAAGCAGGGAGGTGAGAGGTGAAAGTAGCAGGGAAGCAGAGGTCGCTGCTGCATGCATGTGTGTGTGTGCACTTGGGTGGATGTGTAGAGATACAGAGACAGAGGGCCTGGTATGTCTCCACTGATACACTCTCTGTCTGGCATAATAAAGACCATGTGGAGTCAGACAAACTGTGACTGCTGTGCTCTGCGAAGGATAAAAATCCATTATGCACATAGAAGCACACACACATACACACACACACACAGTCTCACATAGATACACAAACACATACATAGCAGGAGAAAAAGGAGAGAAAAGGAAAGAAAAAAGGGAAAGAGAGAGGGAGAACAAGATGGGCCTCAAACCCCTGCTCATTTATAATGCATATGTCGAGTTTGGGCTTTGAACAACAAACCCAGTGCCCTCCTCCCCCCTCAGTGGTGGAGGGGAAAACCCACAGCCTTCTCTGACTGCTTCTTACAGGCAGGGACATGCTGGAGGAGAAGGTTTAACCATTATAGGGGTCTGGAGTTAGCTCATATGGACCACAGTAACTAGCTAATATCAGACACTGAATATAACGATTAGAGTGAAACATTTGCAAAATTCTTTACTGGTCTAATCTTAAAGTATAGCATGAGTAACTGGACTTGCATCATCTGACACCTCTAATAATTCAAACCACTAGTAAGGGATAGTTTCAGGTTTATTACTATTTGGGTCTTATGTTTGCAATTCTGCCCACCAGAACACACCATCATTCATCACCCTTCGTTTGTTCGTTTGTTTGTTTGTTGTGTGGTTATCTCGTTCAAAGCTGAAAGGTAGATGTACTCCACTGCTCAGTATGTCTATGAAGCAGAATATAAATACTTGCTATGCAGTGTCGACTTTATTCCATAAACTAATGTTTCAGCAACAACATACCCTCTTCATGGCTCAAAAACAATACTTTCTTTTATTGAGATAATTTCACACATCTTGTTGACCCAGAATTTCTAAAAAAAAAAAGATGTCATGCTTTGCTCTTTAAACTTGAAAATATATACATCAATTTTACCTCTAAATAAATTGTTCTAATAATCTGGATAAACGGGGCAGCACGGTGGCACAGTGGTTAGCGCCGTTGCCTCACAGCGAGAAGGTTCCAGTTTTCGGGCCCCACCTGGGACCTTTCTGTGTGGAGTTTGCATGTTCTCCCCGTGCTTGCGTGGGTTTTCTCCGAGTACTCCAGCTTCCTCCCACAGTCCAAAGACATGCAGCTTAGGTTGATTGGTGTCTCTAAATTGCCCATAGGAGTGTGTGGTTGTTTGTCTATGTGTTAGCCCTGCAATGGATTGGCGACCTGTCCAGGGTGTACCCCGCCTTCGCCCGATTGCCGGCCGGGATTGGCTCCGGCCCCCCCCCCGTGACCCCGCTCAAGGAACAAACGGTAGAAAATGAAATAATGTGTGTCATCACTTGACTCCTCATGTTTCTTGCCCTGCTGGACTACAGCCAGTCCACAACTGAGACGCAAACTCGGCCCATACCAGCCCAAAGTCCAAAACCATATTGTTGCTTTTTATTTATTACTGACTGTTAGCCACCAGGCTAATGCAGTGTGGCTACACTCCTTCTCCTTTGCTCTTCCAAATGGACATTAGAGTTGGTATCGACTTCAGTTTACAGTACAAGTAAATGCAGTCCTGATGGACAACTGGCTAAGCCAGAAAATTATTAATGTCTTAAGGAACTGCATTTCACGGTAACCAAACCAAACCAGAGCTTGAGGCTTTAACGAAATTGCCTGAACTTGAATTGCAGCAAGGTTCTACATTAGGTTTGCATAGCAGTATTCTAGATGCCAAGATCTCAACAATTACTCCACTGAGTACAGTGTTTTCATTACCAAGTCCTAATGAATCCAAATTAACCAAGTTACCCTCGGTCACTGCAAGACAAAATCCAGGTTCACTTTAGTGCGTTCATCTTTGTTGTGATACTATATTTTGCACACAAAGTGTGTGACAACTGCTTTTTAGGAAAAGTGTGTTTAAATGGGTGAATCGCATCAAGACTGTAAACTGGTGACAAGCATAGTGCACAGCATGAATAAAATATAGACGTTCATTCAAGGCATGGCTTCTCCCGCTCCTGTTTGAGTTGGAAGGTAATGTGTGTTGTTCTTTATACTTGTGGGGACCCCAGACCAAGAACCCATTAACATTGTGGGGATTTGCTTTCCTCACGGCGACTACACGCTGGTCCCCACAAAGTAAATTACTGAACTTCAGGGAGATGGCTCAGTGTAAGGTTAGAGTAAGGATAGGGTTAGGGCCATTCAAGTTTAGAGGTTAAACAAAGACTTCACTTGTTGGTTTAGAGGTAAAACAGGGACTTCTGTGAGTGGACCGCCAGCAAAATGGTGAATCCATCATATTTCTGCAAGTCTGTGTTCTGCTTGTTCAACAGCTGGTTGATAAGCTGTTCATACAGTCTCTGTTACTGGCTGTTCATACAGTCTCTGTTACTATGGAGTGATTGTTGACATCATCTTTTCTCCCTCTGCTCAGCTGACTACCACTGTGAGAGCCCCACACAGAGAAAACACAGTGGAAAAACACAGCAGGACAGTCCGCGTCAACCCGGGAGGTTATGTGAGGTGAAGTATGGGCAATTAGGTTCCGATAGTGGAAACACAGCAGTAGTGGCTGTGGTTGGGGTAAGCCTCCAGGAAATTATGTCAGTCAGTGTAAGGACCTGGTAAGTGACAAACACAAGGATATGTGTGTGGCCTTGTTTTTATACTGTGGAGACAGAAAACCAGAATCATACGAGCTTCATGGGTACTGGGGTCAGCTGTGGGGACCGGAGGGTCATCTCCACAACATAGTTTGTTAAATTTTACAAAAACAACACAGTGTAAGGTGAGACCATGTGTTGTTTTGAGATAAGGTTAGGTTTGGGGAAGAGTTAGGGTTAGGCAAGCAGTGCTCATGTTTAAGGTTAGGATAAGTGTCCCAGAAATGTTTGTAAATCTATGTGGGGGCCGGGTAAGTGAAGAAAACAAGTGTGTGAGTGTGTATGGCCTTGTTTTTTTAGATTTGTGGGGCCCCCAAAACTGGGAGTGCACTAACACTGTGGGGACTGGATTCTGGTCCCCACATAGTAGAGCACAGAATTTCAGGGTGATTGCTTAATATAAGGTTAGAGTGAGGATTAGTACAGTAGTGGTTAGCGCTGCTGCCTCACAGCAAAAAAGTTTGAGGTTCAAGCACCGGCCGACCTGGTTCCTTTCTGTGTGGAGTCTGCATGTTCTCCCTGTGCCTACGTGGGTTTTCTCCCAGTGCTCCAGCTTCCTCCCACAGTCCAAAGACATGCAGCTTAGGTTGACTGGTGATTCTAAATTGCCCGAGTGAGTGTGGATGTTTGTCTCTTAGTGTCTGCCCTATGATGCTGGGATTGGCTACAGCTGCCCCACCCCCGTGACCCTCTTTTGGATAAGTGGTATAAATAATAAATGGATGGTTATGGTTAAGGTTAGGCTAAGTCTCCAGGAAATGAATGAAAGTCTATGTACCCAGTAAGCCCAGTAAATGACAAAAACAAAAATGTGTGTGTGTGTGTTTGCTTGCATGTGTATCTAAATGGAGGTCCATTAAATACATGAGATGTAGGTCAAAGTCTGAAAGATACCAAACATTCTCTGTTGTTTCTCTGTTTTTAACACAGACTGGCACACAAGACTGGCTGCAGCCAAATGATCTGCCAGACTGAGCTTTTTAAAATATATACCATAGACAAAGAGATGTCATCTTGCTCTAAGTCTATCGGCTGATGGCTCTAAGCCTGCTGCTCTCTTTCTGTTCTACTACTCTAGTCTATGTACCCATAGAGGAAATAATACACATTTAAGGACAATCCATGTCATCATCAATTTCTGGAAGGTTTTATCATCTGTCTCACGGAACACATTAACTTCTGTCTGTATAAAAGTATTACCCTTCACCGACTCTAAAACTTGTATATAACATGCACTAATAAAATCTGTGTATCAGTTTTAAAGATGTATGTTTTTCTTTTGTGGGTCTAGTGAGATGTGATATCCAAACGCATATTAATTCAGAAAGTACCACAGTAGATACACACTTTAGTTTACAATACAAATATGATACACCTCCATCATATTTCAGCTTTTTAGAGATGTAAAATAGATGGAATTGTAGACAGAACAGATGTAGATATACAGTATAGCCTTAATGTCAGAAAAACCGGGAGGAAGCCCTGGGGAAGACCCAGGACACGCTGGAGGGACTATGTCTCTTAGCTGGCCTGGGAACGCCTCGGCATGCCCCCGGAGGAGCTGGAGGAAGTGTCTGGAGAGAGGGAAGTCTGGGCATCTTTGCTTAGACTGCTGCCCCCGCGACCCGGTCCCGGATAAGCGGAGGAAAATGGATGGATGGATGGAGGTTAGAAAAACTGAACATAGCAGAGATACAGCAAAAGCTACTGTACATAATGACTGTAATGTGGTCAGGCCTATACACAATGTTTATTTCTTGCCTGGAGAATCATGGGCCATCTGTTAGTGAATGTTTGGCCACATGAAGCAGTATGTGACCACCATGTATTGTGCATTTGACTAAAAACATTTGTCAGCTCTTTTTCCCACAGTGGTAAGATTGCTTCCTAATAATATGGTTTATAGGGCCAGTTTCTGTGGGCCTGTGCTGAATGTTTCCATTTTAAACTTAGCATTAGAGCCTGCTCGCACCACATTTACTATCGTGCAGCAAAGCGTGTGTTTAAGCGTCAGTGTTTCCAACAGGACCACATGACATGAGGCTGCACTTCAGCACAGGGAAGGAAATGGGGGAGGGGAGGAACAGGCGGAGACCATGAACTGTTCTGTTATGACAGACAGAAGAGGATTCTAAGTGATATTCTCTTCATGCACACACTTACAGGTTTTAACATATCCAGCATATTACTGTTTAAATTAAATTAACCACTTGTGATTCAGATGCAGTTTGTGACTGAGATGGAGTTCAGATTGTTTTGAAATGCTGGTGCCATAGCTGGTACTTGATGTTCACATTCAGCAAATTATTAAAGGATCAACCACTATGGATTTTGAAGGCTATTGGCCATTGAGGCCAGCTGTGTTCAATGTTTTTACACTGAACACAATCCACACACCCAGCTCATTAGTTTTAGGCCTACTCAATAACATTCACACATTAATAAGAGTTTAGGTCAATTAGCAGCTCCTGGACAAAACCAGTGTCAGATGACTGCTGGATATTTGTAGCTCAAAATGTTTATTTGTGACACCTGCAATGACCACTTGCTTTTATCACTAAAGAAAATAATAGTCATACAGTGTCTGGATTTCCTGTTCAGCTCATGTCAAGGTGAGTCGATGCATTGTTGCTTTTATACACGTGCCAAGCCTGACATTGTTTGTCTATGTTCAGCCTATATTTCGATTATGCCAACCAGCACAGGGCTGCTGTATACCAGAAAGTTAGAACTAAATCATCTGGTCTATTAAACATTTAGCCTGTGAATAGAAAAATAAAACAATTTGATATTTATATGTAAGACCAAATATTCTTTATGTCCAACCTTTCTCCATTTAACTAAATAAACCAAATTTGTAAATACACCAGCTCAGCATTGCTTGAAAACAAAAACAGCAAAGAAACATTATACAGAAAATACAGGATTTACAGTAAATGGGTAACCTGATGGAAGTGAACAGGACTGGGGATCTGACCAAACACCCTAACAACAGAATTATTGCAATTCATCTTTTAGTCTCTAGAGTGAAGTGAGTGAAAAATGCTTAGCACAAGTTCCCAGGTGACATTTTACAGTGTCTGTTTTTTTTTTTTTGACCAACAGACCACTTAATGATATAAAGTCAAATGGTACATTTGATAAGCTGAAACCTGGGCAGATTTGCCTTTTTCCTCTCAAATATTAGTGATTAATTGCCTGATTAAGTAATTGTGATAACTTCAGAATGTGAGGTTGGATGAGTTGCCTTTGTTACAAACCAATGAATAACACTGGCCAACATCTTTTTTAAACCCCTCGGTATCTTGATCGACTGCCTCACTAGTCCATCACTACCCAGAAGGGCCAGATTATGGTCTTTGTACCAGGCTGAAGAGGTCACACAGCACTTCTAAATAGTGATAAGGCCCTGTCTGACCACTACAGCATACACTAAATAATTAGGCCACTGAGACAGTCCTGCTGCCTCCCAGCCTCCATTAGAGAGGCTTCAAATGTTCAGAAAACCATAACATTTGAACAATCCTCAGCAGCCTCTCTCTGCTCACTTCCGTCTGCTGCACACCAGCAGAACCAAGCACAAAAAGAACATGACAAGCACACACCTGGACAATGTATCGTTCTTTATTGTACTTATATAGAAATACTTAAAAAAACATTAAGTAGCACCATTACTTAAGTTTTATCATGTATAACTTTAAATGTCAGAAAAATAAAACTCTTCATACAGTTTCAAATCTTGTCTCAGCAAATATAATATTAGTATTTGACCATGAGGTTAAAGGCCCTTTATCATAAAATAAAATATACTTTGTTCTTAAACTTTGCTCAATAAAGTACATTTACGCTCAAGTAATTTCACCTACATATACATAAACAAGTGGTAAACAAATGTATTAAAATAGAAATACTAAAACTATAGTGGTGCAACAGAAGCCTGTAATTCCCACTGGAATCTAATTCATACAAATTTTAGAAAGCATAAACAGTTTCTTTGTGTTCAACTTACTAAGTTTTGTACAATTCAATGCTTCATAATAATATAGAATAAAATATGCTTTATATTACTGAATAAAAAATATGCTGGGTGAAGCAGATTTAAAAGACTTTTTTGCTGAACCTATAAAATCTCTGTCCCAACAGAATACTGTCAAATGCCATATACAGTACATTTTGTGGACTTGGATTTCCTCCCACAGTCGTGTGATATTAAAATAATACAGTGATCAATGCCATAAGGCTGTACTAAAAAATAAACAATATTTCAACCCAGCTACAAAAAGTTCACTGAACTTAAATTAAAATATCTGTAAACATTTTTGCAATAAGAAATATAATCTTTCAAGTCAAAAAAGAATAAAATACTTCAATCTGTATTGTCATTTAAAACTTTCAACTTATGGAAATTAATTCTATACATATATATGTAGGATATGTTGTTGCTGTCCCTCATGTGGTTTTTGACCTTGAGCTGCAGTATCTTTGTACATCAGTGGTCCTGTTTGTCTGGAAGCACTCCATGTTTCCCAGCCATGGCCTCCCTCTTACTACATTCGATTGGTAAAACAGGGAGGCTCAGCCCGCTAACAGTCTACAGGCTGACACCAGTACCTCTATTCTGACCCCACTGCATCGCTTCACTCCATAAATATAGGGTGCAATTTACTAGAAGTATTGTTTACTACGCTGTAATATTTAAAACATGCACTCAGATGTTGAAAATATTTCCCCCAGCTACAGTATAATATTAACAACTACGACGAAGTCCCTTCTTCTGGATACTGCAGCCTCTTACATACATATGTATATCTATATACACTTTCCAGCTGATGACTGGGTAATCCCATTAAAGCTGTATGAATAGTCTGTTGTTGCTATTGCAGCCAGTCTTGCTGATGAGACAGTCAAAGGGTTACATCTCTTAGGAAAATATACGTATAGCCTGAGTGACGCCGGTGTGGCAGACGGGGCATTTGGGCTCGCTCCTTTCACAGATACGATTGGCACATTCCATACAAAAAAGGTTGTGCCCACAAGGGACCAGGGCCGCGATGACCTCACTCTCGAAGCACACCGAACAGTCGCGGCTGCCTTTTCGGCTGGTGCTGGATGAGGTGGAGGAGGATGAAGAGGATGAGGCAGAAGAGTCACATGGAACCCCAGGGAGGTGAGGGCCAGGCAGGGAAGAAATAGTGCTGGAGTAACCAGGGAAACTGAGTGGGCCTCCACCCGGGTCGCTGCGTACCCTCCTGGCTAATGGATGCTCAGAAGGGCATCCGGTGTGGCCGTGGAGGGGTGGAGACAGCCTAGGCTGTGGGGTACAACCGTTGACCCTTCTCTGACTCACCACTGTGACATTGGTGTTAGTGGATGTGTTGGTGGGGAATATGGCTGAGGTGGATGTGGGGGTGCTGCCTCCGGTGGAAGAGGGGGTCATGCGACTATCATAATGGGACCACAGGAGGCCTGGTGGGGCTTGAGAGGGGTCAAACCCCGGGGAAGAGTCAAAATTCAGATCAGTGCAGTCAGGAGAGATCACCTCACTTCCATAAACAAAATTGTTGCCGTTGGTGTTGACATCGATGTTGTTGTTGTTGTTGCCATTGTTGTTGTTGGTGGTGGTATAGCTGAGGGCGGGGCTGGGGGGGCTGTAGTCAGTCATGCGTGAGCCGCTGCTGCCAAAGTAGGAGTCTGTTGAGGCACTGCCCAGGGAGGAGGACGAGTTGTTGCGGTAGTTGGAGAAGGGTTTACGTACTGAGGTGGGGGTCATCCCGGCACTGGGCTTGGACCACAGGGTAGTGTGCCCATGAAGATCAAATCCCACATCTGTACCGTTGGCATGGAAGTCATTTTCATCCTGGAGCTCAATAAGGCCTCCTGTCCTCATGGCGATGTGGGCTTCAATCTCTTCACGCGCTCTGTCTACATTTTCCGGCATACCCGTGACCTCAAAAACTGGCTCCTTGTCTCGGCTGGGTGTCACAATGTAAGTGTGGGTATGCTGCTGAATACGCTTGATGGTGGCACCCTTGGGACCTACAACTAGCCCGACCACACGGTAAGGCACCCGCACCTGGATGGTGGTCTGTCCGGGCAAATTCGGTGGCCCGGGCACCGGGGCGCCACTCCCGTTCAGGCTGGTATTTTTGTTTCTGGAGGCTCGAATCATGGAGAAGTGCTCAGCAGCAGAGATGATCTCCCTCCTGGCCATAGCCACATCCTCCCTCCGGCCAGTCACCACAAAAACAGGCTCTTCCCCTCGAACTGGCGTCTTGATGTAAGTGTTGGTCTTTGCTCGGAGTGCTTTGATCTTGCAACCTGGGGCATGGAAGCAAACAGTGGAGGTGAGGGCATGTTCCTTCCAGAAAAGCAGCGGCAAAATATGTCATGTGTTGTTATTACTGATGGACTACTCAAAACAGCTGCTGAACGCTTGTTATTGTGTCACAACAATAAAAGTCACTCCTGGATCTGTGATGTTCCCTGTTCAATCACTACAACAGCTGCTGCTAGACTCTCAATTCTTTGATTTAATCAGGTCATAGACTGACAATGCATGTCTGTGCAATGCCGGTGCATAAAAACCACATTCCAACAGCCTCAAGCACAAACACACATCTCTTTATGATCAAAATGGGACTGGCTGAGGAAACAGCCTTGGAAGAACAACATAATGCAGAGCGACGCCACCTGAGTGGGACAGAGTGATGTAAGCAGAGATGAAGAGGAGGGTAAACCCACCGGGGTTCGGTCTCCACAGCCAATTTACATCACTGCCATCCATTCATGGTGCCTTAGAATCAATCTTATGTGGGTTAGATGAGAACAGTCTCTTTTATGAAGTTGACTTTAAAAAAACATCTGATATCATGGTTAATCCTCTTTTTCATTTTCCACTTATAACCTAATATAACCTCACAGAAGGGAATTAGTGTGTATGTGTGTGAGATGTAAATAAATCTCGTTCGTCAATGCAATTTCTTTGTTTTTCTGGGACCAACAGCAGCAGCAGTATTGCAAGGAGGGGAATCGATTCCGCATATGTAACCAGGCACCAGTACCGCCCTGCAGCCCGCTGGCTGGGCTCCGAGGGTCTGCTGCCTGTGGCGAGGTAAAACCGTTACCGCTGCCCTGATTTGATCCTGCGCTGCTCATCGTCACATCGTCTCGTTTGTCTCTGACCTACATGGCCTTCACCAAAAGGTGGCTCTAACACCTTGTCAGCGGCTAGTGTTCGCTCAGCCTGTGGAAAACCTTTGGTCATTTAATGGTCACTTGCGTGTCTAAACAAGTATCAGCACCAGAAAATCTGCTGTATCTGATCAAAGTTGGTATGAGGGTTCGGCACAGACACAATCCCGTTAGGCACTTATTTGGATTAAACGTGAACTTCTTGAACTCCCACCTCTGTGTATTTATAGACAAGGGCTAATGTGTGACCAACTGGCGAGACGGCAACAAAAGTTCACGTTGTGTTGGACTGGTTACTGCACGCTACAGTACACAGATGCCACATTTACGAGGTTTTGTTAAGATATTACAAAGCAGTTTAAATGCTGGTGGGGACAAGCCAGAATAAAATTTGACATGAACTCTTTGGGCATTTATTCGCATTGTGTGGCTCCCACACAGTAACAGCTCGGTGTCTGACTGCTCAGCTGCAGAACCTGGCAAATATACCGCTAAACTATCTAGAAACACCGATTCACACACCTTGTCTGCCCACAATCTCCGCCACATGCTCGGAGCTGGGAACCGGGACGCATTCGGTCATGTTGACTCTCTTCTTCCGAGGCTCCTGGTTATTGTCGTACAGGGGGTTCTCGTCGTTGTCCAAGCCGAGCAGGGAGAGCTGGTCTAGGGCGATCTGCAAGGCTCTCTGGTCGTCCAGCGCATCACCCTGGACGCTGCTGTCGGCGAAGAGCGAGCTGGGCATCTCTGCGACTCTGCAGCGTTGCGGGATCGGATAAATAGGCAAAGGAAGGGAGGGTAAAGAAGGAGTGATCGGGGAAGAAAGAAAGGATGGGGGAGGAGGAGGGGAGAGGCACCGGACCTCGAAATATAGGCTTTTTGTTTTCAAAAACAACTGGTCAGTGCAAATCAGTGCGGCTGAAAGGGACAAGCAAAGCAGTGCACACAAAGCATCCACCCCCTGTTTTCCCGGTAGAAACGGGATGTCCCAGTCCGAGCTGAGTCGGGATGTGCTGCTGCACGAAAAGACAGCAAATAAAAAAAGCGTGTTTACTCCAAAGCCGGCGGAGAAAGTAATGATATTCCTTCCTGACAAAGGGCCCCTCCCCGGTTGGCTTCCCTCAGGTCCTGTACTGCTTCTGTCTGAGTCCTTGCAGAACCAGACAGAGAGATGTGCGGATGACGTCAACTCCTGGGCAGAGACGATGCAGTGCTGCGAGGTAATTTGCATAACCACAATCTGATTGGCTGGGCTGTTAAGGAGTGGGCGGACCTCCTACAAAGACACACCCACTTCTTTGTTCTCAGTCTCTCTTTGTTTTTCGACCGGGAGCTGTCTGCTCACTCACAGGTCTATAAAATGTTTTATTGGGAGTAGGATATGCAGTCACATGCAATGTAGCTTAAAAGTATGACAATATGAACTCAGTAAACCAATACACAATTCCAGTACAATCTGTATTTATTTATTTTGTTAGTTAGTTAGCCAGGGAATCATTGCTCAGTTCTCTGGAATAGAGCATTTTCAAAAATATAACAATGTTTTGAAGAATTTAGAATGGCTCCTCGCTCTTTACAACACAGGATGTTATCACAAAAAAAGAAAACTTTGGAAAGGAAAAAAAAAGAAAATGGTTACAACTACAAACAACCAACTGCTGACCAGAAGCTGAATATCACAAACATTTGTCAGCAAATTGTAGGGCCTACAGATCAAGAGGAAAAATATATCTTAATGCTGTTTGGAGCTCTTGAGAGCCCGGGCCATCCTAAACAGCTCAAACAACATATTTAACATTAGGTTATGAAAGCTATTTTTTCCCAGTTCTCTTAACCAGGAACTCAGAGAGACGAGGCGGTCCAAGTGGATACAAAAAACCGTGCTGGTTTATTCAAAGGATCACAGGTAAAATTAACATTACACGTCCAGGTATCTTCCACCTCCAATACTGCGCGCAGGCAGATGAAGAATGAAAGACCCTGAACCCACCAGTCCTGTACATTATATCTGGTTTGGGCTAACCCCATTCTACACAGCGACGTCAAACCGTGGCGTCACCTGATATGCCAGCTTTACAGCTGACCGTAGCAGTAGTCAAAACATGGAGAAAATCAATGTGTGTGAATGTTGATTAAGTGGTGTGTATCTAAGAACATACAGGACATTCAGGGACATGTCCGGACATTAAGCCTAGGAAGATATTATGATTAAGATTACGGCTAAACATATCATAATAATAACAATAATCATCCTGCCTGCTGACAATCAAACTTTTCTATCTAGTTATCCTTGCCCACGTACACCCTGCTAAAATCTCATGACAATGACTAAGCATTTAAACTAGACATCCTGTCTCCACTAAACATTTCTAATACAACAAGTATATAACCAATATCTATCTGACTAAAAAAATACCTAACAGTTATCATCTTGATGCTTGGAGTTTTTGTTTGCAGTTTGATCATGAGAAATAAGAAGTTACAAGTGTGTTAGGTATCTTTAGTCAGATAGAAATTGGATAGATACTTTATGTATTAGAAAGGTTTAGTGGAGATAGGATGTCTAGTTAGACTGTTAAATGCTTAGGCATGCTTATGAGTTTCTACAGGGTACATCTGGTCAAGGATAACTAGAGAGAAAAGTTGATGACTGTCAGCAGACAGGGTGTTTAATATTATTATTATGACGTGTATAACTGTAGCCTTAGCCATAATATGTTCTTATGTTTAAGTCACAACATGTTACTAGAGGTCTGTGAGAATGTTTTTAGCTACACACCACTCAATCAACAGACACACACACACACATTGATTTGCTTCATGTTTTGACTACTGCTATGACCAGCTGCAAAGCTGGCAACAGAGACGTCTCGGTTGACGTTCCTGTGTAGTATGGGGCTAGCCCAACCGAGGGGATATAATGTATAGGCCTGGTGGGTTCAGGGTCTTTCATCTTACATCTTTCATCTGCCTGCGCGCAGGTTGGAGGTGCAAGATGCCTGAGCGTGTAATGTTAATTTTTGCCTGTGTTCATGGAATAAATCAGCACTGTTTTGTAGTTACTTGGACTGCCTCGTCTCTGAGAGTCAGTATGGTAAAAAGTACCGGGTACAACAAGTGTCTGTCATCTAATTTGAAGGAGAACAAAACAGATTTTTAATTTGCAGTTGTTATTTTTACACACAGCAGTGGGTTTTCTGAGACCCCAGACAATGCGGATGTAAACTGATGTGAACAAAAAACAAGGGCTAGAAGAACAGAGCATTAAGATATAATGGTATTGAACAGAACATTAAGATATAATGGTATTCAGTAGGTTTTGAATTTGACTAGCTAAGACTTCAGGGCAGCAGAGTGGTACTGTGGTTAGCAATGTCACCTCACAACAAGAAGGTTCCAGGTTCAAACCTTGCAGCTGTGTGGAGTCCGCATGTTCTCCCTGTGCCTGGGTGGGTTTTCTTTGCGTTCTACCACAGTCCAAAGACATGCAGTTTAGATTGATTGGAACCTCTGAATTACCTGTAGGTGTGAGTGGTTTTCTGTCTCTGTGTCAGCCTTGTGATAGACTGGTGAGCTGTCCAGTGTGTACTCCACCTCTAGCCCAGTGTTAGCTTGGACTGGCTCCAATCCCCCGCGATCCTCTACCGGATAAGCAGTATAGATAATAAATGGATGGATAAAACATAGGCCTATATAAACATTTGAATCAATGTGCTGTAGAGAGGATGTCACTGGGGGGGGGGCACAATTATTAAGTATTCTTACCTGTCTGTTGAAAAACTGTCTTCTACATAAGCTAAATAAAATCCCAATGAGTTCTGTGTAATAAAACAGTAAAACATGAATTGCTTAGGTCATTTGTGTGTGTGTGTCAGCACAACTCATTGGTGAGTTTACAGTGCTGCAATAGGGTATATCACCAGAGTAGTTTTTTTTTCAAGCATTTATTAAACAATGACCATAGCTTTATTATATTTTACATGGGAGCCCTCTCTGCAAAAGGCCTTACTGCATTTGTGGAATGAAAAGACCAAAAGAAAAGCAATATATGTCAGTGTCAGCAGTGCAGTACTGAAGACAACAGCCATAGGCAGGTTGCATATGATTTCATCTTTTTTTCCCCTCTCAGTATAGGGTTCTATTATGAAGCAGGTTAAGAACATTGCAGGGTGACAGGTTGGAAGCCTTTGTGGATAGCCATAGACTGGCATAGGCAGCAGGATGGAAGAGGTTGAGGGGGCATTTGGTCAACACAAAGGGGACTTCAGGCCAATTCAAAACCACTGAGACCAGAAGCACTTTGTTTTGTCGCCTCACTCCTGGAGCACAATAATAATGCTAATGAGGAACCACTCAGGAACTGGACGAGGTGATGGGATGGGACCCTGTTGTTAATATTTGACACCTCGGCTCCCCCCTACTTTTCCCTCCCAATTCCTAGCAATCCTCAGTCTATTCAGTCCATAGGCAAAGTTTTCCCCTACATTGTTAAATGCTGGAGAAAAAGACAAACACTTGACATGCATTTGATAAAAATTTTGAACCATGGAGAGAATTTTTAACAGAAATGAAACTGTGCAAAATAAAAAAAAATCTGCAACTTGATATTTGTGGATTGATTTCATAGATACATTATCTGCTCAGTCAGAATATTATTTACTGATGCTGTGTCTGAGCTTTCTCTGTCATGATTCGGTTCCGCTGCTTCTCATCCGGCTTTTATTTTGACATTACTTCCTGTTTTTGTTTCACCTTAGTTTCGGTCTTTTTACGTTCTTCATCACTCACATTAGTTTCACCTGCTTCGTTATTACCTGCACCTGTGTTCACCTCTATTCACCTGCCAGATTGTTCTGGACCCCAGCTCTGACTTTCCAGCAGTTACGTCAGTTTTGGTATTTTGTGTTTCTGATCTCGGACTGTTACCTCGGACTATTCTATTCTGCCTCGCCCTATTCTATTCTGTCTCGCCCCCTTGTTACGGACTGCCACGGTGCATGATTATCGGACTTTCTCTTCTGGACAACGAACTTTGGATTCCCCTGGATGTATGTGTTTGCTGGCTCTGACCTGGGACTGATACCGACCGTGAGTTTTGTGTTCACCTCGTCTTGTATGGTTTGGTTTAGTTTTAGTTCTCTTATTAAAGAGACGGTTTTTGTTTTACACTTCCTCGTCTGGCCATTTAATTGAGTTCACTTAACACTTTTCGACCGCATTACGCGCGCCGTTTCTGACATTCTCTGCACTGCTAGACTTAAAATTCCTGTTGAAGAACTAGGCTACTCCTCTGTACAATGAATGAATTAATCTAATAGAGAAAAGTATCAAGTGTTAACACTGTATTAAATGCTTGGCCAGATTCTTGTCTGCTTTTATTTAATCTGATAATTCAGATTTAAATGTGGAAACTCTTTAAAAACTAATTTCAGACAAAAATTTGAAATAAGGGATACAAGTCTGATGCATCGTTTTTTCAAATGGACAAAAGGGTAGATGTTCATACTTCCCAAAGTCCTGCATTCTGTAATACCCCATTTCTTTTATTGGACAGATCTGAGTAAGGAAGGAGTCTGTCTTTCTTCATTTTAGTGCTGATTTATTTAAAGCCACAAATAAAAATTACGGAACACAACCCAGGTGGCTCCTTCCTCCAGACAAGCTGCTGGAAGAAAGGAGCTCCTGGAAACACAGAGCCTAATTCATTTATAAGTTTTTGGGCTAACCCCTTATATAAAAACATCACGAGTTGGAGACAGTCCAGCGTCTCCTTCTCTTATCTAGAGCTCCAGCTGCATGGAGCCGCTGGCCATAACAAAAT